ATTGTTGGTGCCAAACTAGCAATGTTCCAGGAGAGAAAGCTAATTAAACATGAAACTGAAACCAACGGATTTTCTTCATCATACCTCCCAACACTTAATTGCTACTTCTTTTTTGGTCTTTCACCTCCCTAGTTGATGGAATATTTGTCTGTTGCCCAACAGGCGATTAGATCGGATGTGTCTTCTTCCATCTGAGCCAGCCTCTTCAGATGCGGTGCGAGAGGGAGGCGGTTCATGGAGTGTATGTTGAAAGGGGTCGGAATCAATGTTGTCGGTATGCAACGTGATTTCATCAGCTCTAGGTCTTCGGCCCACTTCTTCCACTAGACTACTATTTTGTAGATTGAGTCCTGCACAATCGGCTCGTTGCATTTCAAGTATGCTGGTTGGCCGTTTTGCCTTACCCAGTAGAGGAAGGGGCGTAGATTTCTTCTTGCCTCTTGTGTCTTTTTTGTGTAGTCCGGCGAGAGATATATATATATATATATATATATATATTCAATACTTGGGTTTGTGCTATCTGGCATCAGCGATGATTATTTCGGAAATCGAATTCCAACGGATTTTCCAAATCCGTTGGAATTCGATCTCTACGTTAACGTGCAGATTTTTCATCATTATATTTTTTGTTTTGTCTTTGTACGAGATCTGATTTTAAAAAAAGTTCCAGTACTTTCTTCGTTAAAAATAAATCGATTTAGATAGGAGGCTAGGACTAGTGTAGGTTGGTGTAGGAGGAGTAGCCGCACGCATGTTGAAACCTCTTTGTGCTAGGATTAACCAGTCGCGAATCACAAGTGCTGAAATCCGGTTGTCTCTGTGCTTGTCGTCGAATTTTTGATCATGCAAATGACCCTGATGCGTCATGAGTTTGTCCCACAAGGCCACATATTTAAGCAGGCTTACTACAAATATGTTTTGACTTGTCTGTGAGAAAAAATTAGGAAGAAACGGCCAACTTTTCCAAAATGAAACCTGGTTTTTGCATTGCGAGAATGCTCTAGCCCACACTGCTTTCACAATTCGAAAGTTTTTGCCTTAAAAAATAAATTATTGTGTTGCCCCACCCTCCCTATTCACCGGACCTGGCGCCGTGTGACGTTTTCCTGTTCCCCAAGATTAAATCTCACATGAAAGGGAAAATATTTGAAGACATTGCAAACATCAAGGAAAATGCGACGAGGTAGCTTAAGAGTCTTACACTCCAGGACTTCCAGCACTGCTTCCAGAAGTTGCATCATCGAGGGGGGGATACTTTGTTGGGTACAACCATTAAATTTACTGTGCTTATTAAAAATAAAGTTTACGAATAAAAGTACTAGAAGTTTTTTTATCAGACCTCGTATGCTTCATGAGGTTCTTCTCCTTCGTTTTCTATGACTCAATTGAAAATTAATTTCTGGCTACGAATTTGACTGTCAAGGCAATCAATAGATTTTTCTTCTTGGTCTGGCTTAGTTCTCATTTCTCGATTTTCCTTTGTAAGGGTAACTTATTCGTTCCTGAGTTCAGTTATATCTTCGTTTACCGATTTCATGGACTCTCTCAGATTCCTATTTAATGCTTCGATTTTATATCCATACCTCGCAGCATGTTGGCAATATCTTCCAAAGTGACATAGCGTGGATCCTCTCAGTTTACTGTCTCGGTCTGTCACTTCCCTCTGTTAGGGTTTAGGGAGATAAAGTCTACTAAACGGGGTTATTGTATATTTGTATAATTTGGACAGGGGTTTAGTTCCACTCCACTAATGATGAGAACTGTGAAAATGATGAGGAACAGGTGGCTTTCACGGAGGCGGCTGGTGTGTTCATTTAGTATACATGCCACATAAAAAAGGAATCCCAATGATCTTCTGGTTGATTTTCTTCTCATCAAATGAAGCAAGACATGTACAAGTCACAGTTCATTTGTGACCACAAGAAAGGCGATGGTAGACATGATGATTGGGGTGTGGACACTGGTTTACTTGTACGGTTGCGATGGATAATTTCCTTGAACAATAACAGTGACACTGTTGGTGTGTTCCTGCTTGGCGCCATCTTGGAACCTCCCTCCTCTTTGCTAAACATACCCACACCAGTGATATAAATTTCTTTCCAGCCTATCAAACAGTCTGCCAAGGAGATTCGGGGAGTCCAATGGTTCTACAAGATGAACACGATGGACGCTGGACCGTTGAAGGGATCTTGAGTCACCTTTTCAACAAAGAAGAATTATGCACCATGAGGGGTCCTGGCCAGTACGCCATCTTCACCAAAATCAATCAGTAAGACCTGGATTTATTTCACTATTTTCTTTTGCCATGCTTCCTGATCCCTCATGATACATATTCAAACCGAAATATGTTCATCTTCCCCGCATCAGATTCATTCACTGGATAGAACATAAAATCGAAATGACGCATTGAAGACCCCAGAAGTCCTCGATCACGTCCGTCATCATCCTCGCCCAAAATCCCGGCAGAAGCCTCCAGGGCTCAACCTCGGGTCTCGACGTACCAGTACATAGTTTTCAGGTGCCAGGAGTAGAAACTCTAAGAAAGTATAAAATAAAGGTATTGTAAAGGGATCTTGTAAAGATCCTACCGAATCCAGGATGTATTTTGTGGGAAATCGTTCGCCTTGTAACTTCCGTTGTTCATTCCATGTTGCTTCCTATCAAAAGGCTTACTTTGAATATATGAGGAAATTCCGGAAAATGATGTCAATCAATTTTTTTCTTCTCGGAATCTATATTGTACGCATGAAATTGTATATACAGATGAAAATATTATGTACTATTCTGTTTCTCCTGTGACATAAATGAGAAGGTATTTTGGAAGCGAAAATGAAGCCGTTTCTGAAAATATCAATAGTGCCATGATATGCCTTGCAACATGAGAATCATGTGAAAATTCACAGCTCGTCATTTAGAGTTCCTATAGCGAATTTAATTACTGCCTATAGTCGGCAGGGTAACTCTCAATGGCAGTCTATGCGCCTGGCGGTTGGCCCTCGAACTAACGTCCACGTTTTAAGGAGGAGAGCTCCAGGGTATCTGAAATGAATTCGCACCCATGTTTGAGGCTATTTTCATGGCGCATTCAGGGAGGTGAGAGTATATTTCCTGTGTTGAAGTAGGCCTTTGGAGCCAATTTAAAGGTGGTATGAAGTCATTTGCAGGAATTCTATTGACTAGGAAAGATGCTCAATTCATTGGCTCACGGGAGCCAATGAATTGAGCATCTTTCCTAGTGGTCCTAGGAATAGAGCATCTTTCCTTGTGGTCGAGAGTCAGATCCTTAAGGATATGTTAGCGTTTTTCATCTGACTCGGGGCATTACTGCGTGGGGAACATCTCAGTCATGAGTGACCAAGTTGAATGAGAATCGTCAGGCTCCAGCGAAAACAACTGAAGCATTCTGCCTAATTCAAGAATTCGATAGGCCCATGCTGAATCTACTGTAATTTAAGTCAGCTCTGATTATACCTAGTTCTCTTGTTCGGAATCCTTGGAATTCATTAGTTAGTTGCAGGATGAGCCCCGCGCTGTCTCTTCCATGGTTAGCTCAATTAAGAAGCGGTATGTTGCCTTCGGGAAAAAAAAGAACAGGGCGCAATCTATGCCTAACAATCAATCCGAGACGCATACATTTGACGTTTTTATTTCCGGTCATTAGGGTTACTCGACATTTTATTTGATCCGCCTGTTACATATGTTTAATGTCGCTGCCACAGATAAGTGCAAAGTCGCAGTGAGCACATGCGCGCACCTTCCAGGCCCCTTTGAAAATCGAAGCTAAAGAACATCTCCATCCATTCGGCTGCATTCCTCTTGGCATGGTGCATATGAGCGGCACTGTGACCAGAGACATGGTAAATATACCCAGACTGGACATGGCGTTCGAGGACCACACAGCGATCTGAAGGGCCGGCGGCCATTACTAATGGCATCAACGAGACGATGAGGCGTGGTATTCACTGAGGCTCACGGTAGTCATGCCCAATGTGATCAGGATACAGATGACATGTGAGACCGCTGACTGGGTCGGGTATCACGTCATACAATGGTGACTCGGGCTTGATTGCTATTGATCCTTTAGCGGGGGTCTAACCTTATATGACGAATTTTTCTTTGCCCCATGTAGACCCTGGGCCTAACTGCATATGAAACTGATATTGCACCCTCACATTATAAAGTGCGATAAACATTAAGAGGATATCTACTCCTTAACGACGGAAAAAGGTAGCATTAATCAAATTTCAAAAATACCATACTTTCTCACTGAAATAGGATTGATGCGTCGTGGATGCGTTCCCGAAAAACACGACGTAAATCGAAACCTATTTTCCCATGGACTAAATGGTATACAGGAATTCCCCGATTTACGACGTTATATCGGAACGACGTTAATCGAGGTAAATCGACTTCCTGCATGGTCTTCGTGGAGAGCGTCGGAACTCACAGTGGAGTGTGACGTCATGAATCGGAAAGGTATGCGTTTTTTGGGCGACCTGACGCCGTGAGCGATGGCGGCCGATCCTCTAATCGGCGTGAGACTTCGAGGCGTTCTCAATTGGCCAGTCTAGTATAGGTTTATTTATCATGTCTCTGGCACAGCCAGAGACATGATAAATTAGAGACATGATTAGCCGCAATCTTTCACGCGTCATTACAATCCAATAACTTCATTGGTAAATCCTGCGTAGTTCCAGGGCCAAACACCATGGCAGAAGGTTTCCCTGACATCACAGACACCGCCGCAGAGTGCCCAGTCTTCTTAGTATAATATTTTAAAATTACATTTTGTAGGTTTACTTTCATTTCAAGATCCACTTCCTGCTGACCGCGGCAATGGGGGTTACCTTAATGTCGATACACCTGACAGATGGATAATGAAAATCTACGTTCGAATGAAATTAAATTAATATCCGAGGGAGCCATGAACTAAACTGGGTAAAACAAAGTCATTTCTGAAAATATTTTTTATTTGGAACACTACCAGCCAGAGAAACATAGCCCCCAATGAGGGCGAAAGTATTCATTCGGCATTCTCCAACATCTTCCTTGTAATCCAGTGAGTGAACCTGTTTAAGGAAAAGGAAAACAGGAAAAATGTTTCCAGTAGAATAAGGTGGAGGAGGTAAAGGGGGATATAGATATGGAATAAAGGAACGAGGAAGAAACCCGATCCCTCACCGATTGACTTTGGTAAATATGCTGTATTGGCCTGGACCTCGCGCAGAGCATTTCGCCTTTGTGAAAAAATGACTCACGATCCCTTCCACATGCCAAGGGCTTTCGGAAAGGGCATTGTTACGGAAAACCATGGGACTTCCGGAATCCCCTTGACACACCGTTTGATACCCTAGACAGGCAATAACATGAAATGCCGTTGATTCCGGTACCTTCGGAAACTATGTAAAAAGAAAATATTCAATAGTTGAGGTCATACTTTCCACAGGAGTATTCCTATCGTGGCCAGCACAGAACATGTTTGAGGTGAGGGAACGAGTGACGGAGCTGTCTCCTGCATGATAAATTGTATCCCGATGACAAATGACATTAGAAACCACGGGGAGTTCCAACTCCGTCAAAACAGCCGAGAGGAGATCCGATCCGTTGTAGCCCCAACCGGCCACCTGCCATGAAATCATCGAACGGATGCCATGAATATAAACCACCTAGAAATGTGGACGGAAAAAAAAATTGGGTCTTACCCATCCTGTATTTCCGTCCTGCAGATTTACCTCAGATAGGTCAAATCGGTTTGAGAGACAGACCAACTGAACTCTTGAGGTTAATAAAGAAGGTTCCGACAATTTCAGCAACGCGATGTCTGAGTCGTAGTTGTGCACGGTGAAGTCTTCGTGCTGGAAAACCTGATGGACCTACGTCATCATGCAATCCGAAATATAATGCATTGCTGCAAAGGATGCAATGTTACGCAAAATACTATAATTTATGACGTAAGGACCTGCTTCTGTTGCAGCAATTCATCGTTCCTCGAATCATTTCGAAAGTATTTCCCAAGATGAATGCTTAAGAATTTTGGATCCCGAGCTCTCGAAGTCCCGTCTACAGCGACGCAATGAGCAGCAGTCAGCACCCACTGCATCCCGATGAGAGCCCCTCCACAAACGACGTCCTCCTTCTCCGCATCATAAATGGCTGCCTGCCAAGGCCATTCGCCGATGTCTGAGGGCTTTCCCCCAGCCGATAATTTCACGGGATTCACTCTCCTTCCACATACTAACACGGAACGCACAAATTTACGTTTTGGAATCCCACCTGACCTTGAGGTCAAAGAGGAAAATTGCTTTTATCTGACTTGGCCCACAGAAGGGACTGTGTCCTGTCCATTGTCCATTCCTTCCGCAAGTCCGAATATATGATCCCTTAAGTTCATAGTATTCATCGCACGCGTATCGCACGACACTTCCGTTTGCATATTTTCCATTATGAAGACATGCCGTGTTGTTTCCGTCGCCGACCCTCGGACCATCAATGTTCATACTGCAACGAGAAGTTGAAACGAAGATCGTTACAAATCAGAAGACACTCTGTGCTTCAATAGTGCAATACGGTCGTACACCTGCATAATTTTTTTAAAAAAGAATATTCTGCTGCTGTGATTGTAATTCATTAACAAAGGTTTTAGCTGGCTGTACCACAACAGGAAGAAGAAACTCAAATTGTTCGTTGCTTAAGCTGCAACACCAAAAAAATAATTTAGCCGAATTCAGACAAACGAACCCGAGGAGAGTTTCAAGGCAAAGAATATTTCTCAGCAAATAGACCAAGCTAAATCGTAGCTTCTTGCAGTCTTCATTCATAGTGCTAATCAGCGGGTTTTTCATGGGATTTTAGTTAATACCAGTATTGCATTCACGAAGAACTAAGTTGAATGGATATTGGGTTGATCTTTAGATGAGGTAGAAAACATGAAGGTATACCTCGAAGGAAACTTCAGCTATCTTTGACAGCAGTACGACTTCTATAATCTCAGATTCGCATGAAACATTTGTTCTTACCCCTCTGAAGCACTTGGACATGACGATATCACAAAGAATCCGTGATTTACGCCATACTAGTGGCTCACACCTGCTCTCACTTCCACCTGCAAGAGACGGTAAAACCTCTTTTGAAGGACGAACGTATTATGTAATTTCGTAATTCATCCATTCTTAGAGAAGCCAAGATGTATAAAAGGTGAAATGAGTAAAGGGTTACCGTGAGGGGAAAGGCTTTCAAAGTCCAACTCAAAATATCAGTAGACCATGAGGTACCTATTAGAGCAAATTGGCGTATGGTCGTCTGGTAGAAGGTCACCGCCGTAATGGAAGTCGTATTGGAGAAGATCCCTGGAGAGTATTCATCATGCCAGCCTCCGGATGGAATGGACAAGTGACCTGCCAACTGCATATCCATACATGTCAAACATCAAACCAATCTCGTCTCGAAAAATATTTCTTCAAAATGCGTACCTGGTAGAAACCAGTGCTGGGGTCCTTGCAGATAAGAGAGGCACCAGGATCGCCACACCAGACTGTGAAGAAGGAGACGCAGATGGAATTGAGCGGGAGAGGATTCCCGTGGGCGATTCTCTCCTCGCATATGCTGGAATTCACGATCGAGGCTGGATACGATACAGGTTCTATCGCCACCTTCGTCCCATCGGCTGAAATCAGCATCAATGCGATCAGCATATGACCCGTGGAAGACGGTCCAATACCACAGGATGAATCAGGACCTTTGATATGACTGATGAGCTCGCAGTCGGAGAAGTTCTGGGCACCGCCAACATTCTGGGTGCACAGGAGACATCCTCCTGCATCTGCCTTCACTGGTTTCTCAAGGCTCATCATCCCCAAGTCAAAGTCGAGGGTCTCTCCAAGAAAACTGAGATGTGAGAAGTTTCTGTGAGCGCGATGTTGAGTGGAATTTCCAGCCACTATGATGGACAGCGACCCGAGCTCAGACTCGCTGGAGGAAAGGGACGGGATCGAATTTCGCTTTGTCGTTCGAACAAACTGTCGCAATTCCTTCTAAGATGTTATCGTATACCATTGCAAGAAAAAATTCTACCTGAAGTACAGGAAACAAGAGGCAGTGGTGGAGATGAATCGGCGTTCGATGAGAGCTCCACCGCATAGCGTTTTCCCAGCGGAATCGACGAGTGCTGCGTCCCAACAATTTCGTCGGCGGTCTGCGTCCGTGGGAGTTTTGCCGTCTTCATTCCAGCAAGTCTCATTCGTCAGCTTTGACTTTGGGGGAACCGCTGCCAAACCCAAGAATGCTGAGTAAAATTTCCTATTCAAAAGGTTGAACTCGAATGGAAAAAAGGAACTTCGTGATCATCTAGTATACGAATTGACGGAATTACTAGCGATTAATGACGCTGAGAAGAGGTAAACGAGAATAATTATTTGATTGGGATACCTCCGTTAGAGAGGAATTGTAGTTCCCTCCGTGCAATGGCCGTCTTTAGGGCGCAGCAACGAAGTTTTTCTGAGTACCGAAAAAGATCAGAAAATTCCATTTCCCCTTTCGCCTGACACGGACCCAAAAGGTAAGCGGCCATGGAACGACCGACGGAAGCATCGCAATCGGGAATTGCAGGCCTGGAGCCGGATTCAGCAGTTGACGCTGTTATTTGCACCGATCCGTTCGAATGCATCTTCAGCTGACAGCAAGATTTATCCGCCTGCCCGCATTCCGTGTTGTTTTTCACCGTCTCCGGGACGCAAGATTGAACGCTCGCCGAAGGAACGCATTCGTGAGCACACGATGGAAGGGGAACAGGCATCAGGATGCAACAAACTCGACCGTCGCGGCATGACGTCTTCAAAATTTCCGTTCCTGGTTCACAGAGCACATCGGCAGAGGGGAGAAGACATGAATGGTTTGAAGGGCAAAGTCGCTCCAGGCCACTCTCAGTGTTTACCTTGCAACACTTCTGCGTTGCCAGCGGACAGCTGAAAGAATTCTGGACACTCTCGAGGTCGCAAAATGACTCAATTCCCTCATCTACACAGGAAAAACCTTGCGGACACACGAGACTCGTTGGTAATGTTGACGCCGCCGGCACATTGTTTCTTGGCATATCGGGCTGGCAGCACAACTCGTCAGATCGACAGTTGCGAACTTTCGACAGAATCACCGTCCCGGGGATGCAGAGAGACAAGCAGCTGCATGTTGACGCATCGGTGAGGACAGTCCAGATCCAGGTCCTTCAATTCGGTTCCATTCTCGCAACTTCCCCGTATGCTCGTGAGAAGCGTCCGATCGAGCAGCAGCCAAGCCATGCCAGAGTCGCACTTGATGGGATTGCCTGCAACAACAGGGAAAATGGGAAGAGGAAGATGAACAAAGCGGGACTGGACTCTTCGTGCATTAATCCTTTCAGACTTGAATCAGGCCACAATCGGGCCACAATAGGGATAATATCCTTTTTCCCATTTTTGATCTATTTTGCTAATCTACTTCAACTTTTATCTTTTAAATTTAAATTAAATTTAAATTTTAATTTTAATCTACTTCAACTCTACATGGAGGCTTTATATTTTGCATACATTTATCGTACCATGCAACATAATTTATATAAGACATTTAATTACATAAACGAAGATACCAAAACCGACGGGTGAGAGAAGGCCTCCGATGAAACTGAGACCACGAATAATTGCACAAGAAAGCCACGAAAATCCCAATGAATCACCACAGACCCAACGAAACTTCAATTCCCATTGGAACGGACGGCGAGTATGGAAGCTCAGAATCCCCAGCGACTCACCCCACAGCTCCAGGAACCCACGACCCACCGCCAAGACCTCCAGCACCGGGCGGAAGCTCTCCTCGGTCACTGCGGTCATCTCGTTTTCGTTCAGATACAATTCGGTGTCGGGCCTGAGGCCTAAAATGGATGCATGTAATTTTATTACATGCGCATGTATTAAAACGGATGCAAGTAATTTAAACCTTCCGATGTTTCGTCACAGTCACCACATGCAGGACGAACATTTTGAAAACCGATTTTCGCAACTGTTGGCGAGAAAGTCTTATAAATGTGCTTGCGATATTTTTCAACGAATATGTTCATCGAAACGCACAAAATCGTTGCTATCGCTAGCTTTTGTGAATGTGAAATTTTGTGCGATTTGTTTTGATCCATGCAAGACGTATGGGACCAATGCATTCGTTAATGATATGACATCTAACATTTCGTAATATTGCCGATCGCAGCGAAGGTAACCATTATCGTTGAACGTAGACATCCGGTAGAATATTAATGATTAATAAAGGATGATGAAAAGGTTAATTAAAATATTAAGGTTCACTTTGCAGAGGATTTTTGATTCCTTACGTCTCCCTCGCCAACCCACGCTGGCAACAGCTGCGGATTCTCGGATGTCGGAATTTTGAAAATAAGATGCACCCCGCTAATGATATACAGGGACAACCAATCTTTTGCCGTGCAATTTGCGAAAAGCGCTCCATCTGACAAAAAAAAATTATTTCCAAAATTGGCCAAAAATGTCTACTTTCGCGCCAATTCATCGCGCCCCCCCCCCCCCAATCGTTGATCGTCGGACGGACCGTACCCGTGATGGCTTTCGGCTCGAGCCTGGCGATGTGGTTGCTCCAGAGCCAGACCTGCTTCAAGGCCTTGCTCTGGAATTCCAGCAGTCTGCTGGGGAGGGTGGGTCCCAGGTTGCACTCGGAGCGCCAAGACTTCTCCAGTTTCGTCAGGCCCTTGATCAATGCGGATGGGAACTCCGACAGCGGATTGGAACCTGCAAGATGAGAGATGGGACGAAAATAAACTCGTCGAAAGACTTGAAGTGAACTCTTTTTTCAAGTATTCTGCGAGACACTTCGAACATTTTCAATCGGTAAAGCGGTCGAAGAATTGCGTTTCCTCGGGGCTAGTCCAGCTGCAATAGCAACGAGAATGCCAGAGATGGCCTCCAGCTTTCGTCGAAGATCGAAGCATTGCTCCTCAGACCAGCTCATAGCCCTGGATATGATCCATAGGATGAGGTGGCGATTTGGTATTGTGAAGGGGAAGCCTTGAAAACCGAGCACAATATGTGGTCTCTGCGTTCGTCTATAAGGTGTAAGATGCTTCATCAGAAAGGAGTGTATTCGTTCTCCCTCACGTGGGCATTGATACAGCATCAGGAGAATATTTTCCGGTACCGTTCGTGAACACCTTCACGATCTTCTGAGGACTGAGCATTTCTATAATAAAAAAAACCTCCATCCCAGTAAACAATGCGGTGGTAGACCTCTTCATATGTGTTGACCCCCGCCTCACATTTTAACCAAATGTAAGTGGCAATATACCTTCCTCGACTCCGATTGCTTGTTTTCCGAGCATTTCTCAATTGTTCCATGAATACTGATGCAGGCCATTTTTTTAAGATACCATCTTTAAAAAATGGCCTGTATCAGTTCCGTAAGAATGTATAGGATTCCTATAGGAATCCTATACATTCCTATGGAATATAAATAAATCTTCGGTTTCCTATAGAAACTGTACCGTTCCAATAGGGAAGCATGCATTATTAATGGGAGTCCATAAGGTTCCAATAAGAAAAGGAAAAGTTTCTTATAATTTTCTAATTGAACCTATCATAGTCGTAGGAACGTCCTCGAAAGGGGGGCAAATGAGATAGGTCACCGGAAAATTATTATTTAATTCAAACGCAATCATTATATCAAATTTGCGTGAAGCTAAAATGTGAATATTTATTGGTTTACTTCGCAAAATATTTAATCAATTTATCAAATTCCGAGTCCAAGATGCATTACTGCGTCCATGAATGGCCGTCGACATTTCCCAACGCTGCTTGAGCCGCCTCGACCCCGAGAAAGACCTCTCTGCTGATGCATAAGCGACACACGTAGCACGAAGCCGCGTCTTTCGCGGGCAAGTGTGAATTCCATGGCCACTTATCGAAGTACTTTTGCATCGTATGCCCTGCCCCCTTTTTCCATAATATATTTATATTCTTGCAGTTGGAAAGGGTCATTTCCGCTAAAATGCATATGTTCCTATGCAATCTTGTCCGCAAACACAACCAATAAAACAACACCTGTAATGTTTTCCTTTCCCGCATTTTCTTCATAATTCGCTGTCTTCCGTTTCGTCATGAAATCAAAAAGCGTTCCATTTTTCCGACAATTCCCCCTCAGTCATCAACCCTTCTTCAAGCTAAATTTACTTTCAGAACCCATTGAATGCCACGAGGGTTCATAAGCCGCAACTTGTCCATGTACAGGGTGGCGCAAAAAAAACGGTCCACGTTTTAAATTGGTCTAGAACAGGAACTATTGAAGCTTACCCTTACAAACGCTTATACCTACCCCGTTTCCAAATGTTTCTTTGCTCAATTGTTGTGTGAAACAATTGGACTAAAATTCCAATTGTTGGAAGATTGCCAAGGCAATTTTGATGTGGAGAGAGAGACTGCGAGTAGTGGTGGACCAGAAAGGAGGACACATTGAACATTTCTTGAATAAATAAAGGTTAGTTGAGGTGGAACAATCATTTTCCCATCATTTTACTACTTTTTTGGGTTATGATTTTTTCAGTTGGCCATGACAGCCATTCCATGGCACCCATGGACCATACCATATATCTTTGGAAAGGGCTTGGATTGAACTTTCATTTGCTTTTTTTTTGAACCTGCTAGCTTCAACAGTTCCTGTTCTAGACCAGTTTAAAAAATGGACCGTTTTTTTTGCGCCACCCTGTACACTTCACTCTTAGGTTTAAAAAGTGAGGGAGGGAAGGGGCAAAATGTTCCATTTGCCCCCACATTTGGAAAAGTGAGGGGGCATTTGACACCACTGCCGTTCAAGTTCCTACGTCTTTGGGACCTCTACGTTTCCTATGAGAATGTATAGGTATGCACTAGGCTTCCCATTGGATATATTAGGTTCCAAAGAGAATCTCTCAAGTCCGTGATGGACAGAACATCTATTAAAGCAACGGGGGATTCTGAAGTTCTTGATAGAAAGACTCTTCTATTGCATAATTCCCCCCTCCTTCCCATCCGTGTATCCGTCACTGTGTCGGGGCAAGAGGAAAGACCCAGATATCAAACAGATATTCAGTCAGCATTGTATAAACGTTACGTTTGAACGTTCCCAGCGTCGTGGGGGCATAGTACTTAGCATTAATTCCTTATTTAATTTTCGCTCCTCCCATCACTCGAATGAATGTTGAAGTTGAACAACGGCTGAATGCTGGGTCAAATTTGCAACGTCACTTATTGGAATGCTCACTCCCCACCCCTGTAGCAACAAATATTGGCTCATTGCTGGACCAATATTGGTCGGTAGGAGTCTTGCATTTCCCACAGTATACTAAAGTGGTCTTCCCTCTATCCATGGAATCATCCCTCCTAGGGTGTTTTGTACCTCCCCATATGTCTCACCTTGCCTATTTGTAGCAATCAATAAACGTGGACACTTCCTTATTTGCTGTCCCTACATTGGAGACGGAATCATGGAGACGAGGCCAGAAATAAGCTCATTTTCCCAATTAGAACCCTATACTAGAACGGGTTCTTACCCATGAGGAATTTCAGTAAACATTTGGTTCACGATTGTTCTGTTTGCCATTTCCTCTGAGTGAAGAATCAGCATTCTCTCTCTAGGGATGGATGTGAGCTCGAGGATACGCCATCATGCCCATCCATGAGATAAATGGGCTTATGGGCAGAGAGTTACAGTAGTGCAAGCAGTACTAGTTATGATGGTATAAATGCTCCTACTCGGCAACAGCGCAAAGAATCGCCAATATTGACACCGGTGTTCAAGCCATTTAGTATAAATCCCGGTTGCTGTGGCATGGTTTCAATAAACCGCACCGAATACTATAGGTCAGGAGTCCTATGTTTTCCAGAACCATGAAGAGATCCTGTTAGTTTTCCGTGTTTCAAAAACTCATAAAAGCCAATAGATTTCCTATAAGACTTTTTCGTAAGGGCGAGTTTCCTTAGGTTCAGGACGTTTGCAGCTGTCCAAAAACCCATCGCGACAACAGCAGAAATTGCAGTTTACTGGACTATAAGAGAAAGGCTGCTTTTTATAATTCCCTCACGTAGATCAAATGTCAGAAATTCTCGGAATATTTTAAATACGGGATAAAAGTGAAAACATTATGCCGGCAATAATGTCGAAATTCTATTTCCAGACTCGAGACGCAACTCTGCAACTTGAGCTTTCCTTTCAATTTCCGAAGATAATTTTTTCACACTCAAGATATCGAATGGCAAGGAACCGAACCGGTCGCCAATCATCATGCGGCACGAGACGCAATCCACTCACCAAAAGAGATCGCTCGCATGTTGGGAGTCGCCCACCCGTCTTCTTCCACTTTCCCGATGACGTTTTGTTCCAACGAGAGTTTCTCGAGGCTGTCGCTCTGGATGGCAGGGACGGAGGTGAAGGAATTCCCGTGGAGCCAGAGTTCCTTCAGGACGGGGAACATGGGCAGGATGTGGAAGGGGAACGCCTCCAGGTGGCTGTTCTGGATCGAGAGGTCGACGAGTCGGTCCCTGGAGGGGAGGATGGTGGAAGGGAGGATCGCCTTCAGGGCGGTGTTGTTCACCCATATCTTCAGGAAGGAAAGATTCCCCAAGAATGGGAGTTCCTCGATCTCTTTGTTATCGTGCAGAGCAAATCGCCTGCAAGGAGAGTGAAAACAGGAAACTTAGTCCATCTCTGGTTGAGTTCGAATGGAACGACTCCCACATTTCTCAGTGGATTTTTTGCAACCAAATTCTCAGATTCTGAGCGAAACGGAAAAATCCTGCAATTATCTCGTGAACGTTGGCAAACGTATACGAACGGCCGAACCAAAAGAATTCAGAGAAGTCTCACCAGAGATTAGTGGAAGGCCACGAAGCCCTTCCCAACGCCGCTAAGACCTCCTCGCTCCCTCCGGCGCCCGAACAATCCAGCTGACCACCCAGTACATACATGGCGCAGCTGCACGGCCGGGTGTCTTGGACGGGGCATCCCTGCTTCGCCTTCCCGCTCCCCAAGGAAAGCAGAGCGAGGAAGTGGATGCCGGAGGATATCATCATTCTTCCAGATTCACTCGAGGCGATCAGGTGGAAGAAATCTGAAGAATCTCAAAAGTCATCGCGTTCTCTCAGCTTGTGAGCAGTGGTCACTTGGGGGATTCCCCGCCGGATCCTCGAATCCTACTTTCGGGAGAAACACTTTTTTTTTTCAAGATATGCTTCAATTCCAGCATGAAGGCCAACATAAATTTCTGACACTTTATTCCCGTCGTCCTAACGTTCGAAGCAGCATCTAGACGAAGTCATCCAAATGTAAGCATATTCCTCATTTGTTCGAAGTTTGACAATGAAACTGGATTTCATGTGGAGTGAGGAACAGACACTTAATCATACCGCTAGTAGTCTCTCAATGGTTTGCGCACAACTGCAACAGAATAGAACTGACGTTAATTGGCAGAAGGACTTCATTCAGTGCAAACTATAACCATTATCGGACGGCACGGCTCGCAAGGCATTTTAGGAAAAATGCCCCAAAAAACAAAAATTTCCCAGTACATTGCCAAGGAGCGCTTTTTCTCTACTTCTGAATTGTCTCATGCGAAATGGGTTAAAATTTGTCAAACGTGTAGAATTATCAATGTCCATTTCATAGAATTCCATGTGATACGGATATGCCACATGTATAATGATACTGCTGATGGTCATTCATCCGGGAACTCCTCGTCGGATTCATCGGATTTGAACGAGGATGAAATCACTAAAAACAGGCGACCCACCGCCGCGCCGAAAAAGAGCCGTTGGAGCCAACATCCAAGGGGACCGCGGCTCAGTGGCCGAACGGCTCCAGCGGCCGGATGCGAACCGGGCAGACGAGGGATCGAGCCCGGATGGCGGATGGGATCCTTCCTGACAGGCGACTACACCCCGCCATTCCGGAGAGTGTCGGCTTAGAGATTGCACATGCCATTCTGTGCGCCAGGCCTGATTTGCACATTTCGGGTGGCAGTGAAGAAACACTCCGGGAAGTTTCTCACACTGAATTTGGTGCGATATCGATGAGAGAAGCGACCGACGAGCGAATCGACTGTCGGTCTGAATGCGTTCAGAATCTACTGCATGAAAGCGTGACAAAGAAGAGAAAACATCTGAAACCACCGCGAAAACGTGAAAATGTTCTTCGGACACTGACAGATACGTCGATTCCACGTCGACCAAAAACGCCATCACCTGAAACCCGAAAAGGGCCGGATTCCTTCCCCTCATTTTCGGACCTCTCATCTCGGCTTGGGACCTTTTAAGGACCCTGGTGCCGACGATAGAGTTCGAGCGGACGAAAGAGACTCATTGCCATTACGATCACTCCTCGTCGGAGCGTTCCACGTTGGAATTCAGGCGATCCTGCTCCATAAAACTTTGAAGGATCCTCACATAAAGGCCCGTCTCGACACGGATTCCATTAATCGTTGTTCCATCTTGAAGCAAAAATGATACGGGATTATCGAACGGGAACCCAGCAGTCTCCGTCGCAACGGCTGGGCGTATCATAAGAGAGGAGAGGGTGGAAATGCAAGCCCAAACAGAACGAATCGAGTAGAAAGAGCGACAGCAGACCTTATTTCGAGGAGAGATTCGAGCATCGGCCGCAACTCTCCTCACTCTCGCCGGAGAAATCGGCCGGAGGACGTCGACGCAGGCACTCTGAATCGAATGGCCGAAGGCTGATGTATCAGGGGAGAATGCTGGGGCAGGATGCAGATGCACTGCGTCTTCTGCATCGTGCGCCGCGAAATCTCACGACACCAAAGGGATGGCGAAAACTCGAGGAAATCCTCGAAGAATCGCACCAACCAACGTATATTATCGAAGGACTGCGATGCTAGGCGTGCATTCGCAGCACCTCAACGACGAGCGAATGAAGTGCGGACGTCTTCGATGTCACCGCAACGAAAAAGAGGAGGAAGATGAGACGGAGAACCCGGTAGACCCAAAGAAGGTAGGAGACGTCATTCGCTCGCATGCCCTCAGGCCCGATTCACCTCCGGCATGCATCTGCGCCACTCTCCCTCTCCATACCTCCTCCCTGCGCCACTCTCCCTCTCGATACCTCCTCCCTGCGCCACTCTCCCTCTCGATCCCTCCTCCCTCCCTGTCCCAGTCACACGACGAGGAAACAGACACAACGGTCCTTGCCCCACGATAGAGGAGTCGTTCCAGCGGGATTTGCCGTATGGAAAGGGATCCTTCCCTTCCTTGGATGAAGCTCTTTCAAACTCTTTCTCTTATCCGATTCTTCGGGCGAAAATTCAAAGGAACTTCCCCAGATATCGCGTAAAACTGCAAGGAATTAATGGTGAATGGGGGATGGACAGATGGAGCAAGGGGATGGACAGATGGAGCAAAGAACCCGGTCGATAAATATTACATGAAATTTCGGTGGTCATTAATGCGTTCCCTATGTAGCCCCCCCCCCCCTCCCCGCCTTTCCTCTCAAACGAAAGAGCCCCAATGCCTTGAAAATGGGATTTGAAGAGACCAGAAATCTCCATTTTCCAACTTTCTTCAGGTTCGGATTCAGAAGTCGATTTTAGGGGCTCATTTTCGCCAATGATATGGTGATCGGGTGAGTTTCATGCTAAATATACCAAAACAAAGGCGGGAAATGCGGAGAGGTTTGGGCTCACTCTCAAGACAATGATGATGAAACATTTTGCAAAACACTCGTCGATGTGTGGAAGCACTTCCGGGATCGTTGAAAACCTATAAGTACCGCTTTCGTCGCTTCAACGCGGCATCGCGCCAACGAAGTCGCATTGACGAATCAAATATCCCGAAGACTTTATGCAGAATCATCGAGATCGTTGAAACACCAAAGGAGACATTTAGCTCGACGTCGGGTGGTTAATCGTCAGGTGGTTAATCGTCAGGTGGTTAATCGTCAGGTTCAGGTGGTCAATCCTGTGCGTCCGTCCCGCTACAAGAACGTGTAAAAAAAATTATTTGAAATTAATTGGATAGAATAGGTGTTTTTGGAGAGCAAGGTTTGGAGAATTGCCCCAAACTCTCGTTTTTGGGGAATTTCCCACGTGCCTGGCTGCTGAACGCATCCAAGGACGATTCCACGAACAGGAACTGCAACAAGCACCAAAACCAAAGAGGTCTCAACTGGAACTCGCTCTGAGACATCGTTGTCTCTTGGCGAAGAGGTATCAAGTATCCTTCAGCCTTCGACGGTTGCATTTTTTTTTTTTTTGCAGCTGCCTCGAGTGTCTCGAGTGGTCGATGTGTTGGAGTCTCACGATGGAGACGTTCGCTTCTACGAGGCTCTTTCGTTTATGCTAGCGATCTGGTGCTGGGAATTGCACGATGCGACGGGGTTGTCAACCCCGAAGGGAAGACCGTTGCGATGATTTGCCGACGTTGCACAGCTGCGAGTCCGAGGCGATCCGCCGGCGCAGGCGAGCGCGAAACAGGTTTCCGTGACCTTCGAGGTGAACTTGGAAGACCTTCGAAGACCTTAAAAGATCTCGAAAGAAAAGGTGCTCGATGGGTCCTCCTCCCTGGTCCGTAAGCGTCCGCAAGCGCTGGTCCCATCGGTCCATTTCCTTTCTAAGCGAATGAATAAGCGCAAGGGGCCACACCCTCTCATGCCAACCCTTCGGTGTTGAAAATGGCGCAAGGAGACGATTACGAAGAACCTCCTTCTCATCATATCGCCAAAATAAAACCTTTGATCGTAAACTTTGAAAATGTATAAAATAATTCAGATTAAATTAAAATTAGCCAATTAACTCGTTGGAAACCGACAACAGATTCATGATAAGAAGAGGGGGGGAGGGGGGGTAAGAGGCTGGGGAAATCCAGCGCCACACCTGTCTCCTTATCAAATTTTTCCCACCGTCCTCGGTGATGGCACCGAGAGCCCAGGGAAAAATTTTTCCGCAGCATCGTGCAAGATGCAACACAGTCATCAAGACTTATTTGGTTCGTGCTGCTCATCCAAGCATGCTTCACACATTGGTCCGAAGTAAAAAGTCTTCAGGCAAGCGTGAGGAAGACAAGCTCACGTCATCGCCACGACGTCAATGAGGGTGTGTCGGACGTCTTCCTCCCGCGACATGTCATCCCGACCCACTACGACCTCCTCCTCCGCCCCGTCTTCGACGAGGCCCTGGGCTTCCCCGTGCGGGGACGAGTCGTCATCGACGTGGAGTGTCGGGAGGCTGCGGCCAACATCACCTTGCATGCAGGAAATATGGCCATCGAGAATTACATCATTAGAGACCAGTCTGGGATTCCCTTGACTATATTTGGTATAGAGACGGATCGACAACGTGAATTTCTCATCATTCATATCCGGGAGGTTCTAGATGTTGGCTTCACCTATGAAATAGATTTAGAATTTTCTTATACCTTACGTCATGAACCATCCGGGTTTTTCCTTGGCTCCTACAGGGAGTCCGGGAAAGAAATATATATTGGGGTCACCTTCTTCCAGCCATCTTACGCGCGTTCGGCATTCCCCTGCTTCGACGAACCTGCTCTCAAGGCGCGATTCGACGTGACCATTGCACGGGATGGGGAGTGGATGTCCCTTAGCAACATGCCGCTCGAGGAAACGCTCTTGGATGAAGACGGAACCTTCTTGGATGTTTTTCACACCTCCCTCGTGATGTCGACCTATACGCTCTGCTTCGCGGTCACGCGGTTCGGTGGGTTGACGACCGACGTCCCGAGTCCGCTTGGGGTTTACGCCAGACCAGAGCTCGTCGGCAAGGGTGAGCTAATGCTAAACGATGCGCCTCGTGTGATCCGTTCTGATGAGGATTTCTTTGAGAGAAAGGAACCGATGCCCGAGATGGACCTTATTGCCGTACCGCAGCTTCGGTCGGGAGGGATGGAAAATTGGGGTCTGGTCGCTCTCCGGGAACAGCGATTTCTTGTTGACGTGCGAAAAGAAGACTTTAGGAAAGTCTACGGTGTTAGTCGCTTGACGGCTCACGAGCTTGCGGACAACATCTTCGGAAACCTGGTCACTATACGATGGTGGGACATGATCTGGC